AGTATTAGAATTAATAACCAAATTTTGGTCACCAAAAGATACATTCATCTACTAATAAAATAATTGCGAAATTTTTTTACAAAATTACTCTTACACCTTCAGCGTCTAATTTTTGTGGCATTCACGGTAAATTATTAGATATTAAAAGGTACATTTTGCAACTAATTGATTAGTCGCGATACCATTTTACCAAATTACTCTTGAACAATTAGCGTCTAAGCAGGGAGACTATTTTAACCAGCAATTAGCGACTAATTTGCTAGTCGCCAAAAAAAAATTTCCGCAACTAATAAAAAATTTAGACGCCCATACTTTCTGCGACAGCGATTTTGCAATTACATGGCGACTACGAAATTTAGACACGAAAGAGATTTAGCATCTAAATTTTACTTTTTGCGTCTAATTTTGCTAGATGCCGAAAGACATTTTTCTTGTAGTGTACCAAACTTTCATATTTTTTTCTTATAGCGTTAAATATTGATGACATGACAATTTTCCGTAAAAAATCATTGACATGACAATTTTGGTGTGCTAACTAGACATTTTGACGTGGCAATTAAGGTTGACTTAGACTGTTAAATTTTATTTATTATAATGCTTCATTGTTGTTTATAAGAACAAGCTTTGTGGGATGGTAATTTTTTTTTTTTTAAGTTCTTAGTTTTTAGCGTTGCTATTTGCCATTAAAATGAGTTTGATGTTTCTTTCGTTGCAGTTCGGATGATTTTTGGATTCAGTTTTGGGTGATTATTGTCTTTAAAAAAGATAAATAAATAGAAACCCTTTTGTTTTTATTACTAGTTTTTAGGTGTTAGGCAAGCGGAAATGACGGCAGTAACAATGAGCTTCAACTCTATTCTTACTGGAGGAGTTCAAGTTCTTGTCGTGTTTTTTTAATCAATTTATTGTCTTTCTACTCTTCAATTGAAAAATATTTGAAACTTGGTTTGGGTATTTGAGTATTTGATTGCAGGGGTAGATTATGAATACAAAGCTGTGAACTTGGTGAAGGAAGAGCAAAACAGTCCTGGTAGTCTTTGTTTTTGGTTTTTGAGGATAATTACAATACCAGATGGCCAAAATGGACGCGGGTTTGACTTTGATTTGTTTGATATTGATTGATTTTTTTTTTTTTTTTTTTTTTTTTTTTTTTTTTTTTTTTTGTAGAGTTGAAAGCTCAATCCTCTTGGTTATGTGCCGGTTTTGGTAGATGGAGATGTGTACTTTCTGATTCTTGCTATTTCACTGGTAGTTATTTGATACTCTTTAATTTATATTATCTTGGTGTCTCTTTTGTTGAATTGGAGGGATTTTTAGTACAAATTGGCCTTGCTTGTAGTATTGGCAGAGAAGTATCTCAGCATCCATTGTTGCCTTCTGATCTTAAGACAAAAGCTATCAAGGTTAATTTCTATTTCATTTCCCTTTATTTCTTATTATTGTTTTCAATGACATATTTCTATAATTCAGTAACTATTGAAAGAAACTGGTTTTTTTGTTAATCAAGAATCCTGCTTTGCTTTAGAATTTGTCTGTCATGATTTTAAATTTGCAGTAGATTGTTCAATTTCATTTTTTGCACTTAGACGTTTTTCCATGATTTGGGTGGGCTGGGTAAGTTTGTATGTAATTTGATTTGTCCTGTGATTATTTCATAGCAATTTGATTATCATTGAAGCCAGTGATATTTTATTTTCCACTTTTTAAAATTTATTATTTATAATGTTTCATTGTTTGTTATAAAGAACAGCTTGTGGGTGTGGTAATTTTTTTTTTTTTAAGTTCTTAGTTTTAGCGTTGTTGTTGCCATTAAAATGAGTTTGATGTGCTTTCGTTGCAGCTTTGGATGATTTTTTGGATTCAAGTTTGGGTGATTATTGTTCTTAAAAAAGATAAATAAATAAAAACCCTTTCGTTTTTTATACTATTTTTTAGGGTGTTAGGCAAACGGAAAGACAGCAGTAACATAAGCTTCAACCTCTTCTTACTGGAGGGTTCAAGTTCTTGTCGGTGTTTTAATCAATTCATTGTCTTTCTCTCTTCAATTGAAAAATATTTGAAATTGACTGGACCATGTATGGTCCACCTTCTAGTTAGATTAATCAAAATTGCAATCTTTCTTTTCTCTTTTTTGTGTGTAGTGGGTCTGTCATCTGTTCCTGTTTCTTTTTCATTGGGAAGCCGAGCAGTTGTATGTATACTGGAAACAGGATGAATGCTGTTAAACTTCCATTTTTTTTTTCTTATTCCTTGCTGCTTCTCTGACGCACACGCTGATGTGCTTCCAAAGTCTAGTGTTTGCAGACCCTATGTACACATGATATGAACCAAAATGGTTAGCGTGGACTTTTTCTCAATATTGAGTCGGCCTGTGTATGACAGAGTAGTTATGCTCACTTGGTGACAAATGAAATTCATTGATAACATTTGGTTTTTCCATGAAGTTTCAACTTTAATGGATTGATGCTTCATATAAGATGATAATGTCCGATCCAAATGTGTCATTGCACTTGCATGTATATTTTCATCAATCTACTTGCCTTTCTTCTTTTCCTTGCCGTCCCCTGGCCCTTCACCGCCAAGTATGGTTATCTTTACCCTTAAACTAACTGTATGATCTTGTTAATCATGGGAAGTAATGTAGATTTCCTAAGAACTGTGGTTTGCACTAATATTGCAGGAATCAAGAATAAAGAATGAACACCCGGATGGTAGCCAATGTATTGTCAATGATATAGTGAAAGGTCGCCTTAAGGTCACCAGAGCATTTGGAGCTGGATTTCTGAAAAAGGTTTGTCGTATATCCTTTGTAATAACTATTTTGCTGCAAGGATTTCTGATAAAAAGTTTCTGGTTGATGATTATTACTGTTTGGTGATTTGTACATCATGGTAGCATATATCTTTGTTATAGGTGCTCATTGCTTGCTATGTTCTAGTAAATTATATCCTCATGATAGTATTCATCACTACGGTATATGGACAAGACACATTGGCTTTTACAGATAATGCAGTGTATAAATTAAAATTTTGTATTTTTGGATATCTTTTAAAAGTGTTGTGATAGAGGAATGTTGTATAGCATTGGAAATGATTCAAGTTGCAGGTCACCTTTATTAGTGCATAAAAATATCATTTCTGTTGTTGTTGTGTAAGTGAGCCAACCGAATATCATTACTGTACTTATTTTTTTAATGTTTCAATATATATGTCCTTGATTAACAACAACAAGAATGTCATTATGATTTTGCTTATGCTTCATCATTTGCGCATTGCTCTTACAAAACCACACTGAGCATTACATTATGTTATTTTTTCAATTGATGAAGTTCCCAGTGTATTGTTTTATCCAATGGTGTGCCACGCAAATCCCCCACCAACTAGCATTCGAAATCACAAGAATAGCGAACTGGAGCGAGCCTATATAATGTAAAAAAGCAAATTGTAACCAACATCGATCATCAGAGAGAGAGTAGCGGACGAGACAAGCTCCTACGTCTACAACAGATCCTACAGTTTCAGCTTTGATACCAACGGCTGCTTAAACTGAAGCTCCTATTGAAGGGAAGGGTTCCAGACCAGCCTTAGAACCATCCTCAAACCATTCTCAAGAACCCAGAAGCAACAAGAAGAGAAATCTCTCTCTATGAGCTAGACAACGAGTCAGCATTCGTCCAACTATTTAGGTAAATTTCCCCAAATTCCAAATCTCTTCTCCACGCAAATCCCTACCTATTTCCCCAAATTTCCTAAATGATGTGCGTTGATTTCAAATACTTGATTTTTTGTTTGATAACTTGTGAATTGGTTTATCTGGGATAAGTTTTTCTGAAAGTGTGTTTTTGTTTTTGCATTATTTTTCCATCGCCTTCTTGTTATTGTAATGTTTCATTTGATACTAAAGTCGGTTTACTCTTCTCTTTTACTGTGGCTTTTTCCTCTTTCTTGTTTGAGTTGACTTATCTCCTTTATGAACTTATTTAATGTAGAAACCAAACCAAACTGGGAACCGAAGTGGTTTTCTAGTTATCGGGGAAATCGATTTGCTTTTGGTCCATAGAAATCGAGAAAACCGAATTTCCGATTTTATTAAAAAATATTAAAAAGTAAACATTTTTTCATTAAAATTAAAAAAGGAATTTAAATTAAAAAGATTATAAATCTAAAATTAAAGAAAATCAAACCTCAAACCCGGTTTTAAAAAAGGAAAAGAAATAATAAAATAAAACAATTTTTCCCACCTCAAAATTTTCACCAAAGCAAATTCTCCCACCCATTTTTCATTAAATCAAAGCTAAGGTTATAAACTATTAGAATAACCCATTTCTTCTACCCAAAATTCCGGCACCCAAAAACTCAGGCTTCGTTTGGTTCATTATTGGGTAGTTTTTATAATAATCTTTTGAAAAAAGTTAAATTGGGTGGGTATTACGATGTAGAATTTTGAAAATTAACATAAATACCCCTAAAATATTCAAAATTAACAAAAACACCCCCAATCTACTCATAAATACGGATAGCTGGCCACCACCGCCGGAGGGTGGCCGGAGCTGCCGTATCGGTGTATGACTAACTGGATCTTACTGGTCGTGCGTCGATATGGCCTTTTCCTGCCAGATCTGCGGCTAGATCTGGCCATTGACGACCATATCTGGTCGTATTTGGTCGTTAACAATAGCCAAAGTCATTGACGATAAGATCTTTGGCCGTAGATTTGGCCTTTTCCGACCAGATCTAGCGTGGATTTGGCTGGAAAAGGCTAGATCGACGTATTACCGGTCAGATTCAGCTAGTAATGCGCCATTATACTAGATTCCGGCAGTGGTGGTGGTCGGAATCTGGTAAATTTCGGTTGCTAGGGTGTTTTTATCAAGTTTTAAAATTTCTTTAGGGGTTGTTTTTAAATTAACAAATTTAGGGGGTTTAAAGGATTTAAATAATTTAGAATTATATTTTAAAAAGAGGTGAAAAAAAGTTTGACTTTTTTAGGGAAACAATATGTGAACCAAACGGAGCCTCGTTTTTCTGCCCAAAAACGAGAAACATTTCCCTCTCTTTCGCCCAAAATCTCTCTTTGTCGCTCTTCCACTGAATTGCAGAGGTTTCTCGTTGCAACAATCAATTTTCTTCTCAAATCTTTTCAATCAATCTTCTAATTGCTCTTTTCTTCTCAATCTTCTTGTTGTTGGGACTTGTCTAATTGGTCTGTCCTTCTAAATCTTCTTGTCTTTGCGATTAGGGCAAAAGGTTGAATGGATTAATCAATCTGGGCCGTTGAAGAGAAGAAAGGGTTTGTGAAGGGAGAGTTAGGGCATTTCGGTCATTGTGAAGCTAATCTGTGTGGGAACAATGAATCTTCAGATTGTGTGGAAACTATTGATAAAGAATGTGGTGGATGATGAGTAATGAAGGTGGCCATTACTGTTCGAAAAAGAGTGATGATATTTGCTGTGATGTTTGTCGCCAGGTATTTTGTTTTCCACTTTTTAAATTTTATTTATTATAATGCTTTCATTGTTGTTTATAAAGAACAAGCTTTGTGGGTATGGTAATTTTTTTTTTTTAAGTTCAGTTTTTAGCGTTGCTATTTGCCATTAAAAGAGTTTGATGTTCTTTCGTTGCAGGTTCGGATGATTTTTGGATTCAAGTTTTGGGTGATTATTGTTCTTTAAAAAGATAAATAAATAGAAACCCCTTTGTTTTATTACTAGTTTTAGGTGTTAGGCAAGCGGAAATGACGGCAGTAACAATGAGCTTCAACTCTATTCTTACTGGAGGAGTTCAAGTTCTTGTCGTGTTTTTTAATCAATTTATTGTCTTTCTACTCTTCAATTGAAAAATATTTGAAAAATTGGTTCTGGGTATTTGAGTATTTGATTGCAGGGTTAGTTATGAATACAAAGCTGTGAACTTGGTGAAGGAAGAGCAAAACAGTCCTGGTAAGTCTTTGTTTTTGGTTTTTGAGGATATTACAATACCAGATGGCCAAAATGGACGCGGGTTTGACTTTGATTTGTTTGATAATTGATTTTTTTTTTTTTTTTTTTTTTTTTTTTTTTTTTTTTTTTGTAGAGTTTAGAAAGCTCAATCCTCTTGGTTATGTGCGGTTTTGGTAGATGGAGAGTTGTCTTTCGATTCTTGCTATTCACTGGTCAGTTATTTGATACTCTTTAATTTTATATATCTTGGTGCTCTTTTGTTGAATATGGAGGATTTTTAGTACAAATTGGCCTTGCTTGTAGTATTTGGCGAGAGAAGTATCCTCAGCACCATTGTTGCCTTCTGATCTTAAGACAAAAGCTATCAAGGTTAATTCTATTTCATTTCCTTTATTTATTCTATATTGTTTTCAATGACATATTTCTATAATTCAGTAACTATTGTAAAGAAACTGGTTTTTGTATCAAGAATCCTGCTTCTGCTTTAGAATTTGTTGTCATGATTTTAAATTTGCAGTAGATTGTTCAATTTCATTTTTTGTCACTTAGACGTTTCATGATTTGGGGTGGGCTGGGTATAGTTTTGTATGTAATTTGATTGTCCTGTGATTATTCATAGCCATTGATTATCATTGAAGCCAGTGATTTTATTTTCCACTTTTAAAATTTTATTTATAATGCTTCATGTTTGTTTATAAAGAACAAGCTTTGTGGGTGTGGTAATTTTTTATTTTTTTAAGTTCTTGTTTTAGCGTTGCGTTGTCTGCTTAAAATGAGTTTGATGTGCCTTTCGTTGCAGCTTGGATGATTTTTTGGATTCAGTTTTGGGTGATATTGTTCTTTAAAAAAGATAAATAAATAAAAAACCCTTTCGTTTTTATTACTATTTAGGTGTTAGGCAAACGGAAATGACAGCAGTAAACATAAGCTTCAACTCTATTCTTACTGGAGGAGTTCAAGTTTTTCTGTGTGTTTTTTTTAATCAATTCATTGTCTTTCTATCTTCAATTGAAAAATATTTGAAATTTGACGACATGTATGGTCACCTTTCTAGATTAGATTAATCAAAATTGCAATCTTCTTTTCTTTTTTTGTTTGTAGGGGAGTTCTGTCATCTGTTCCCTGTTTCTTTTTCATTGGGAAGCCTGAGCAGTTGTATGTATACTGGAAACAGGATGATGCTGTTATAAACTTTCCATTTTTTTTTTCTTATTCCTTGCTGCTTCTCTGACGCACACGCTGATGTGCTTCCAAAGTCTAGTGTTTGCAGACCCTATGTACACATGATATTGAACCAAAATGGTTAGCGTGGACTTTTTCTCAATATTGGGTCGGCCTGTGCTTATGCAGAGTAGTTATGCTCACTTGGTGACAAATGAATTCATTGATAACATTTGGTTTTTCCATGAGTTTCAAATTTAATGGATTGATTGCTCATATTAAGATGATAATGTCCGATCCAAATGTGTCATTGCACTTGCATGTATATTTTCATCAATCTACTTGCCTTTCTTCTTTTCCTTGGCCGTCCCCCGGCCCTTCACCGCCAAGTAGGTATCTTTACCCTTAAACTAACTGTATGATCTTGTTAATCATGGGAAGTAATGTAGATTTCCTAAGAACTGTGGTTTGCACTAAATTGGAGGAAATCATAAGAATAAAGAATGAACACCGGATGGTAGCCAATGTATTGTCAATGATATAGGTGAAGGTCGCCAAGGTCACCAGAGCATTGGAGCTGGATTCTGAAAAAGGTTTGTGTATATCCTTTGTAATATCTATTGCGCAAGGATTTCTGATAAAAAGTAATTCTGGTTGATGATTATTACTGTTTGGTGATTTGTAAATCATGGTAGCATATATCTTTGTTATAGGTGTCATTGCTGTATGTTTAGTAAATTATATCCTCATGAATAGTATTCATCACTACGGTATATTGACAAGACACATTGGCTTTTACAGATAATGCAGTGTATAAATTAAAATTTTGTTATTTTGGATATCTTTTAAAAGGTGTGTGATAGAGGAAATGTGTATATAGCCTTGGAAATGATTCAAGTTGCAGGTCACCTTTTTAGTGCATAAAAATATCATTTCTGTTGTATGTGTGATGTGAGCCAACCGAATCATACTGTACTTATTTTTTTAATGTTTCAATATTGTCCTGATCTAACAAACAACAAGAATGTCATTACTGATTTTGCTTTGCTTCACTATTTGCGCATTCTCTTACAAAACCAACTTGGCATTACACTTATGTTTCATTTTTTCAATTGATGAAGTTCCCAGTGTATTGTTTTATCCAATGGTGTGTGTTTTAAAAACTGCTCAATGATATCATGGCATCTTGGTGCGGCCCAAGTTGAACGATTCATTATTGGAAATGTTTCGAAATGAGTTAATTGGAACTGCCCATACATATCCTGCACACCTTCTCTTCATCACATAGACTTTGCCCAAGAGATTAATTTTTGATCTCTCATCCGATGGCTTATATCAGTATCTGACCAATTAGGAAGTGGTTTCAAATGTTGAGAGTTTCATGGAGAAGTTTCCAGATGGTGATCCTGCACAGCACCTAATAGAGGAGCTGTCTCTTCCATGCAGCTGACAAAGCTGTAAAATGTTCTTTCTTCTCTGCTTATTTCTTTAAATGCTAATAATCATCCAGTGTACAAAATGTGGAAAAGTAATCATGAGATTTAACCTTGAAAGTAAGGGTGTTTCTCACGTAAATAGTATCAAAGCTTTTTCCATGTCAATATTAAGCCATTTGTCAACTATTTCTCATGTAAAGTGTCTGACATAATTTTTAGTCGCTTTCTTCTGCATTACAATAGGTAATTTCTTGAGTTATCTTCTAATATTATTAACGTGATGGCTCCAACGCGATTGGTTTCGAGCAATTTATTCATGGTTATTTGACTATTGATTATGCATTGACTATTAATTATAATTTATATGTAATTATTTAGTTTCTTACTTGCATTATTGATTATGCATTGAATTGATGGTAAAAAAAATGATAGAGCTGCAAGATGAAAAAACAGCGGGGAAAGTGAAAAAACAGAAGCAGAAATAGTGAAGAAGTTGGGTAAAGCTTTTGGATTTAATCAAAATTTTGCATTTTCACACACTGAGCATCATATGATAATGCAGCAGAAGCAAAGTTAGGTGCATAGTGCAACAACTAGAAAATAAAATTAAGCAGTTGGAGGAGTAGCTCGCTCTAGTTAATCAACAAAAACAAAAAATAAAAAGCCTTGAACAACAACAATTTGTCTTGTTGGAGATGATGAAGCACTAACTGTAGCCCTTGAACTACAACAATTTAATAAAGCTCCAACTCGACAGTTATCGCCATCTCCAATTGAAGACTCGTCCTCGTTAGCTACAACTATTTTAAAAACCTCAACTGGTGACACCTGAGATGCTCTAGATATTGATGGTTAGTTTTTTGTTGTATGGGCAGTATATATTTTGACATGAAGGTAGGACCATCTTTTTAAGATTGTTTGCAAATATCTGTTAGATGGTGTATATGGGATGGGCATTTTTTTTGTTAGTTATGCACAATAGATAGCTAGTGATGAAAATGTGGGTGCATACTTTTTTTTTTTTGTTTAGCACACTTGATAGTGCTTTTGAATTTTTATTGGTCCATGTATGGACTATATTATGAATATATATATATGTATGAAAATATGATATTGATGTTAGTGTTCAAATTTTATATTGTGATGGATTATTTTGTTGATGTTAATGTATAAACTAGTAATACAAATGTTTTTGCACTAATTATTTTCTTAAAAAAAACACATTCTACAACTATGTTTTAGTTGCAAACAGTATTTATCATAATTGATTCTACATTAGCGTCTAAATTATAAGAGTTAACCATCAAATTTTGGTCACCAAAAGATACATTCGTCTATTAATAAAATATGCGAAAGCCTTTAGGATTCACATTTAACGTCTAAAATTATAGAATTAACTATCAAATTTGGTCATCAAAAAATACATTCGCCACTAATAAAATAGTCGGGAAAACTTTTGAATTCTACATTCAGCGTCTAAAGTATAGAATTAATAACCAAATTTGGCACCAAAAGATACATATCTCTACTAATAAAATAATTGCGAAATTTTACAAAATTACCTTACACCTTCAGCGTCTAAATTTTGTGGCATTCACGGTAAATTAGATATTAAAAGGTACATTTTGCAACTAATTGATTATCGCGATACCATTTACCAATTACTCTTGAACAATTAGCGTCTAAGCAGGGGGACTATTTTAACCAGCAATTAGCGACTAATTGCTAGTCGCCAAAAAAAAATTTCCGCAACTAATAAAAAATTTAGACGCCAACTTCTGCGACAGCGATTTTGCAATTACATGGCGACTACGAAATTTAGACACGAAGAGAATTAGCTCAAATTTTACTTTTGGTCTAATTTTGCTAGATGCGAAAGACATTTTTCTTGTAGTGTACAAACTTTCATATTTTTCTTATAGCGTTAAATATTGATGAATGAAATTTCCGTAAAAAATCTTGACATGACAATTTGGTGTGTAACTAGACATTTTGACGTGGCAATTAGGTTGACTTAGAATTTATAATCTAAAAATCTCAAATGAACCCTTTTTAACTATTTTATAAAAACACAAAAACCCTAGATAAATAAAACCTACCCAGAATGAAAACTTATCATAATTAAAACCACCTAAATTGTATGAAAAAACAATCATCAATTTTTAAGTTTTTTCCCCTAAAACAATTAATTAATTTCAGTAACTTCTATCAGATCATTAATAGATTGCTACAACCAATTTGATTAATTTAGATCATTTAGGTGCAAATATTTTTATCAACAAATAATAGAAGGTAATTAATAAGCAAACTGCAACTAGGTAGTCAATAGTACAAATTTATATAAACATTTGGAAACGTGTTTTTTTAATTAAAATACAGAAAGCTGAAAGAAAGGTAAAAAATTGATTTTTTTATTAAAACTTTTTTCCTAAAATTCAATAAGTATCTTTATATATATATATATTTGTAATATTTAAGGTTAATAACAATCCCCCTTGTATAATTAAATAACAATAATCCTCAAGAGTTAGAGAAATAACATGATTTTTCCTATTGTTAATTTTTTGTGTTAAAACAAATGGTAGAGG